ATATATATATATATATATAAATGAATAGTCAAAAGGATGCTGCAAAATGTCATACTCCTTACTTTGACTTGCACAGGTAGGTCCAGTACTTTGTGTCTGGAAAAGCTAATTCATGAAACGATTGCTTTTGGCACATGAAGCAAATCTTTCACATAGTCGATCGCAGTATTCAAGCACCAACAAGAAATAGATTTATTTGCATGTATTGGGACACTTGAAGCAAAAATAGACTAATTTACATCTTTCAGATCTTTCAGATGGGATGTAGTGCTCCCATCTGAACTCTCCCATGCTCCCACAGCTGGATTTATGAGAGGATTCTATTTTTCCTTTGGCCTGTTAAGTTCCTTCTGAAAATAATGCAGGACTGCTGAAATGGCACCGAGTTCTTAGAGCATAAAAGGATTTTGTTCCCAGCTAAGAAATAACAAATAAATGCACATCTGCAAACTCTGCACACTTGGGAACAAAAGGACAGAAGGATCAGAGCTTTTTTTTTCTCCTTTCCTTTCCCTGAAAATAGGCTCAGATACATGATCAGGTTAAGCAAGCTTACCACATTATCCTGTATGAGCTGAATTCTATGATAACTTTTCATGTGCATGCTTTTAGCCCACAGCAGTGTAACATAATCAGATTTACCACATCTCACTAAACTGAATTATGTCAGGACATTTGCAAGAAGCTCAAAATACAAAAACTGTAGTTACTACACATCAGCTGCTATAGAGTAACTTGTTAATTTGCTGTAACTTTGCTGTATATCTGAGAATAATAGAATTAATCTAGAATTGATCAAGAAAGAGATATTATCCTATTGAGTTCTGAGTGTTCTTACTTTAAAAATGATAGCATAGGATGTTAGTGCAGATAGTAGTTTGAAATATATTAAATCTAGTATCATCTCCAAACAATGTTGGGTTTTTTTCGACTTGATAAATATTCCAAGTGTCTTTACAGTTCAGCGTAATAAGCCTAGAGTTCCTGTTTAGGGATCTGAAAGCTTCAGCAGCTGGTCTCCTGCTCTTTATGACTGTTAGCATTTCACAGTAATGACATGAATGACATTTGGCAAGCATAGATGGCCAGAAAAAGTAACAGACTTGGCTCAAAATATTTCTGGGAATGAACACTCTTTTTTAGCTCCAGTTACTACTTTGCTGTTGGAATGAGACAAAAAAAAAAAAAGAAAAAAAAAAAGAGAATAAAATAAAAGTGGATCTAAAACAATTTAGAGTGCTTATTGTGATCTGACCTACATGCATTTAAAGTACTTGTGTTTGCTATGCCTTTTGTAACTGCACCTAGATGTTTTTTTCATCCCAGAGACAATTTGTTTGCCAGTGAATATGGATTATTTCCACAAAGTAAAACCCTTGAATATATTCATGTGGGGGACAACACAGAATAGTGCGTTATGTGGAAGAAGACAAACCAGATAGAGCAAAGCTGTCTCTGGATGGGAAGTAAGAGAGACCTGACTGTCTCATCCTATTTCTCACCTAGTTATGAGCACTGCTAACACTATCAGTATTCGTGCTTGGTAAATGGTGGGAAACACTCATTACCCACTTCTGGTATACTAGGAGTAGACTGACACTTTGCAGTCAGTTTCACATACTATCACTGAAATGAAAGATCTACCTCATGCAGAGTCAGTGCAAGAAGAAATTTAGCTATGTCGACAAGCTGTTACTATTGACCTAATGAAAAGGACTTACGTGGCATTGCGCACTGATCATTCACAAGAACTTCTAAATGTTTAGAAAATAACTATTTCAGGGAAGAGAGAAATTCATCTTGAGGCCTAGAGCTCAGCTACACAGGGATAGGTCTCTGGAATGCAAATGACTTGACTCTGAATTTTTGCCTATGAAGCATTATGATGCCTGGATGAAAGCCTAGTCAGGATATACTCCTAGTGAACTCAGAACTATATAGATGTGTTACTGTTAAAATCATGTTTAGAGCACAGTAAATAAGCATTACCTTGCATACAGACAGTACTGGAGAAGCAGACTTGGTTCCAATAGCAGCTGCTTCCATGAATTATGCATAATCATAGTTCAAGGAATACCAGACACAGCATTTCATAATTAGGTAAAGTAGATACACATCAGATACTCAAGACTTTC